CAGCAAGCAGAGAAGGGCCTTGAAGATAGAGCTCTTAGCAGGTGCATCTCTAATGAACTCCTTGAGAGAAAGAGCAAACATTACATACCTGTTGCAAACAGGGCATCGACTCCAAGGCAAGATTTGGAGCAAGTAAACGTTTCCTTTTCCCCTGAGCTCCAGTTCTGCGGAAGCCAGAAGCCAAAAAACCAGTGATGAAACCATCCCAGCCCCCATACTCCCCGTCCTGAACGGGGGTAAGGGATAAAACCTAAATTGAATGATACTCAATGTTAGTCAGCTATTAGGCTGGGATAACTCTTTATTACCTACCAAAACCAAACAAAGTCCGAGACCTTCTGGAGATTCCATTTAGGTTTAGAGAAATAATTTTTTAATGAGCAAAGCTTATTGGGAAATTCTTGTACCTGATAGATCCAATTCCTTCAGAAACTTGGTTAGATGTATGTCCCCACTTCCATGTAAAATGTATGTTTTACAGTATTATATATATATTATATTAGGATATAATACACAGTTGTATATATACCATATTAATATATACAATATGAAGATAGTATACATATTATCATAAATAATGCTACTGTGAATATTCTTGAAACTAAATCTTTCTGCCTTTGGGTACATTTCCAGAACTGGATAAGTAATTTTTTGATAGATATCACTCATGCTTCAAAACGGTTGTATCAATTGATATAAATTTACATTCTCAGTGGAAGCTTCATTTCTCTTTCCTTAAAGATTTTTGGGTACAGGTCTTTACAAGTAGAATTGTGTATGGTCTCACCATTTCCAGTGCAGTCCCTTCTAGTCTATTTTTTATTCATTAGACAGAATAACGTTTTGAAAGTATAACTTTGCTGGGGCACCTGGGTGGCTCAGTTGGTCGAGCGCCCGACCCTTGGTCATGAGATTGAGCCCCACGTCAGGCTCTGTGCTCAGTATGGAATCTACTTAAGAGTTTCTCTCTCTCTCTCCGTCTTGCTCTGGCCCCCTCCATTCTCTCTCTCTCAAATGAAATAAATAATATTTTTAATTTTTAAAAATTTAAAATTATATATTACAGTTTATATATTTAATAAAATACAATAATATATACATATGTGTATATACATATATGTATCTGTATATTATACATGTATTACACACACACACACACACACACACCACATAAGTAAAATTCCCTGCATTTGGCTTTTTCAAGTGTTGGCTCTAGGTGCAATGCACTTCCCCCAGTTTCCCATAGGTTCTTCACATCTTTCCTATCTTAGCTAAAATGTCACCTCCTCAGAGAAGTCTTCCCTGACTTACTGAAAGGAACACTGCTTATTGCTCCCCCCCCATAGCACACCACTTCATGTGCTTTAAACTCTCATCTATAGTTATTTAAACTGTTTATCTGCTTGTTTGTTTTTCCCCTCTCTGCCTGGGGTTTAAGCTCCATGGGAACAAGGATTCTGTGCGTGGGGGGTGGGGGGGGCGGGAGGGGTGAGTGAAGGCTTATTGTGGACAGTGGCCGCCCACAGCAGGTGCTCTGTCCATATTTGTTGAAGGGGAAGGAAGCAAGGAAGCAAGGAATGACAGAGCAGGCCTGCCTCCACGTTTTCTCTCACCTGATCTCTGCGTCATCTTCGAAGCCATCCTTCTTTAGGTGGCCGAGGACTGGTGGCGGGGACCTGGCCACACAGCAAAGGAGCTCTGCCCTCGGTGAGAGCCAAATCACTGTCATCGGCGCGGCTCACCTTGCCAGAGGGAAGGCTGCCTGTTTCTGTGCCTGCTCTCCCACTGAGAGCAGCAGGCAATGGGGCCAAGGCTCAAGCTATTTTTGGTAAAGATACAGGACAAGTGCCATTTCAGCCTCGGCCTTGGTGCTCTGTGGTGCTTGGGGAAAGTGCAGCCTCCTTGGGTGAAGCCTGGGAGCCCATCAGCCACTCTGGAGACGCGCAGAAGCCCCTGGACGTCTGCGCATCATCTTCTGCCCAAAAGGGCTTTATAATAGCGATGACGGTGATAATTGGTTGACTGGAATACAGAGGGAATGGCATGAGTCTTTCTTGTTTCAAGCTAGAGGGGGTTTCCACTTTGAAGATATCGGAATAGGGAAACTTGGGAATAATTTCTGGCATTGCCATGTGATAGTTAGAAACTCCTATTCAATTCGTGACAGAGTTTTGTTTCATATCAACAAGATGTCCAAGTAAGAGGAAAGTACTACTACGTGTAATTCATTTTGAACTCATGCTCATTTCATTTCAATACAATCAACCCTTACTCCCCTAGCTTAGACCCGTAACCGGGGATTAAGTACGCTCAAAATGAGCATGATGACCACTGTTGGCAGAAGGGAGTTTGGGTGCTCAGGAAACAGAAATGCATGTTACGAATAAGCTCGAAGTGTCAGAAATTGAGTTTAAAACAGGGATTAAAATAATGATTTTTAGTGTGTGTCACATTTATCCCCAGGGAGACTGAATTGTATTTGGCATTACGTCTGTTTGGCAGTGTAGAGTTGTGTGAGTTGTGCACTGGGCAACTCTACAAGCACCACTTACGTCTCTGAATTCCTCCTTTCCTTTTCTGCCATGGTTGTGTATTACACGTTTTGGACAAGTGCAAGTGGCTGTCCTTCCCCTGAATAGTACAGTCCGTGTATTTTCCAAGTTTAACAGTTTGACTTAACATGAAACAAATAAATAAAACTGTATCCTGAGTTCAGCCCTGCGATTAAAAAAAAAAAAAAATCCCTTGTCTTTTCACAACCTAACTTGATATTTCCTAGTTTGATTCTAGTTTCCTCACGTCTCGCTTAATTATTTATGGATGTGGATCATACTCAAGATTAATTATCATGGGGTGGATTTCTCAGTTTCAGATTTTGTCAGTAATTATTTCTTTTATCTTGAGCCATTCACTTGTAGGCCCTTATGCCTCATTTCCTTCATCCTTTGTTTCAGTGATACTGTTGATTTGGTCTACAGAGATGTGTTGGACAACTGCCTTCCAAGAACACGTCTGTTTCATGGCAACCATGGACAGCATTTTTCTTTCTTTTTTTTTTTTTTTTAAAGTTCAAAGCCTTCAAAAAGAACTCGCCAAAAGATTTTTATCATTTCATTTTTGTTTGGTGAGAGATTTAAACTTATTTTTTTTGAGAGATTTAAACTTAAAACATCACATATCCAATGGCAACACAGTGAGAGATTTTTTTTTGAGAGATTTAAACTTAAAACATCACATATCCAATGGCAACACAGTGACCGAGCTAATGATTTACTATATAGCAAAAAGAGTTCTCCTCCCAGAATATTTGCCTTTTGATTGTCCCAACTTAGTTTCAGCCCTCCTATGACACATTCTTGGGAGATTCTCTTTAACTGACGCCTACCAAACCAAACTAATGAAAAGCCAGTATTCTTGGCCGGAAAGGAAAGATTTATATAATCTTAGAGTTGAAAGGTCTTCAAATTTCATCAGGTCAAATAATCCACTCCATAAGTGAACTTTCTTCTCCATCTCTCTGGCCGCTGCTCATGCAGCCTGGGTCTGGTCACCTCTGGTGAACAAGGACTATCTATTTCAGATGCTGTCTTTGTGGATAAGAGCAGATGATTAGAAAGTTCTTCCTTGGAAAGGAAGGAAACTCCCTCCCTTCATGACAGCTGCTCTTCAGAAGGGCTATGGGACGGTGTTGACCAGCAACATTGTGATCACACACATCTCCCTTCAGTCCCTGTCCTGTGGGACCTGGGGCACGTCTCAATTTGTTGGAGCTTCAGTTTCCATAAAATGTGAGCGATCGTAGGTATCAACTTGTGTTTTTAACAGGATTAGGACAATGCCTAGAAGCCTGGTGCCCGGTAAAGGTCAGCCGGCATCAACTCAAGCATGCTTGGGGGTGATGGGGTGCAGTCAGGGGCAGTGAGTGCGAAATCTGTGCCCCTTTTCATCTTACTCTACACGTGGTATCCCTTCATGGTTCTGAGGATCCGCTCTACTGCTAGGCTCCCTCCCGGGGCATAAATATGGGCCTGGTATTTACTTAAGGGAGGACCCACTTCCTGAGGTACAGGGGGGTTTAAGTGAGTTAATGCGGGCATGAGGCTTAGAGCCCTGCGCGGGTGGGGGGGGGGCACTCAGAATTCATCAAGCACCTGCTCTGGACTAGGCTTTGGGGGTTCACATCTTAACGAGGCCAAGTGTTAGCCCTTGGGAAATTTAACGTTGGGGCGGGAAAGAGAGGCTCCAACAAGGAAAACGTAGCGGATGATTTCACGGAGAGCTGGGGCGCAGGGTGCCCAGAAAACTGGAGGAACTCTTCGGCAGCTTGAGCCTGGCAAGATCCCTCCTCCCCCAGGCCAAGGTCAAGGCTAAGGGCGGCCACACCGCCTCCCCAGACACCCGCCCCGCCCAGAGGTAAAAATCAGCCCTTTGCGGGGGGGGGGGGGGGGCTGAGAAGTGCAATTTCCCCTCCCCCTTAAAATCAGCCACCAGAGCGAGAAGAGGGGGGCGTTATCTCCGCAGGCCGGTCGCGAGGTGCGGGGTGGGGGGGATGGGCAGGGGCAGGAGCAGGGGAGGCGGGTCGGGCCAGGTGGGCTGGAGAGGAGGGGAGAGGTGCGAGCGCGGTCCTGTGAGTCTGCATGGGGTGGGGTGGGGTGGGGGGGCGCAGGGCCCGGCGCTGGGAGGCGCGCGGCTCCTCCTCCTGGGGGGGCCTCACCCCTGCGCGGCCCTCCTCCTCCTCTTCCCTGCACCTCCTCCCCCACCCCTGCACCTCCTCCTTCTCTTCCCTCCGCCACCACCTCCTCCCCGTCCTCCAGCTCGCGCCCCTCCTCCAACCCCCTCCTCCCTCCTCCTCCCTCCTCTCCCCTCCTCCCCTCCCTCTCCACCCCTCCAGCTCCCGGCCCCGGGAAGAGGCAGGGCTGGAGCCCCGAGCCGCCGCCGCCCCTCCTCCCGGCAGGCTGGCCCATGAGTCAGCTGACGCCGCGCTCCAGCCTCGCCTCGGCGCTGCGCTCCCCGCGCTCCCCCAAAGTGGCTGCGAGCCGGCCGCCCACTTCCAGGCTTTGGGGGCGCAAAGTGATGCGCGCCTCCTAAAGCCGCGCCGAGCCGCAGCCCGAGCAGCTCCGCCTTCTCAACTTTCTCCCCCCCACCCCCCCACCTCCCCACCTCCCCACCTCCTCCTCCTCCTCCTCCTCCACCGGCGTCGTCCCGCGACCCTGCCCTTAACCCGCGCCGGAGCCACTCGGGGTGCGCGCGCCTGGGGGACGGGGTCACCGGCTGCCCGCCCGGGATGGCTTCCAATTTTAACGACATAGTGAAGCAAGGGTACGTGAGGATCCGGAGCAGACGCCTAGGGGTAAGGATCGATCCTTTTTCTTTTTTTTTTCTTCCCCCCCCCCCCCTCTTCCCTTCTGCCGGTGCGGTCGATGGTCTCCATCCGTCGCCAGCATCCCCGAGGCTGCAGGGGGATCCCCGGGCCGCGCCGGCCACCGCGCTGGGCGCTCCCCGCCCGGCCACACCGCCGGGTCCGTCATGCATCTATCTTTATCTCTCGGATGACTTGGCTTTCTGGCGGTGGCCGCGTGTTGGGCTCCTGGAGCCCCTGGAGCCCATCTCCTGGAGATGAATATTCCCCGGGAGCCAAGGGAGTTGGAGCTGAGAACCCCTGCCCGATGCCCCCGCTGCCCCCTCCTCCCGCTCGCCACCAACTTAACTTTTCCGGGGGATGTGGGGGGGCGGCCGAGAACCGGGGCCAGGCGCCCTCGGGGGGCGCAAGGGCAGTGACCCCCTGACCCCTGGTTGGAACTGCTGCCCGCAGAGCCAGAGGTCTGGGGCCCGACTCCTGGACGATGACCCACCTCCGTCGCAGGTGTTGGCCCCCGGCCAGGCCCGTTGGGGTGGATGCCCGGACCTGAATTCTCTCTGGTCCCCATCCGGGTGGCGGATTTCTGCTGCTGCAATACCACTGGGAGCTTATTTAGGGTGGAACAGGATACGTGGCACAGAGCAAATGCTCCCTTAAATAGAGGTACCGCAAGAAAGGATGAATGAACCTGAGGGTACTTGCAGGGGACAGAGGCTGGCAGAGGGGTGGCTCCTCTCTGAAAACTCCCTCTCTTTTGCCCCCTTGCCCTTTGCTCTTCAATGATAGGGCTTCAGAGAGAACTCATTCTGCATCTCTTTGAGGTTGAGTGATGGTGAAGGAATTCTCCAGACTGGGGGGCGGATGCTGGAATGATCCCCCCCCCCACCCACCCCCATTCCAATCTACCTCCATTCTCTTTGCCTTGTGTCAAGTGTTGTTGCTGTTTTCGTTTATGGTGTGTGTTTGGGTGTCCGGATTGGGGGGGGGGCGGAAAGTTTACTTTAGTGATGTCTGAAATGATATCAGCTCCGCTGTGCAGTGACCACACCGAGAGTACAGTTACGGTGACAACCTGAAAGTCTTTCTCCACAAATACAGGTCACTGGCACCTTCCTCTTCCTTGCTCTTCGTACTTTTTGATGTGCTGGGTAATTTTCCTGAAAATTGAGAAGAAATCTCACAGTGGTAACCAGCTAGAGAGGACGCCAGGAAACATTTGTAATTATTAGAAACTCTTGCCTGATTTGTTTGGACCCTTTGCTTGCTTGCTTGCTTGCTTTTTGTCCCTGCTGGTGACCGTGTTTTAGCAATTATGTCCCGTGTTATTGTGAATAGGTACGTATACAATTAGGAAGAAATGTAATAGGGCAAACCAATCCCTATTGGCCCTGTGCAAGTTTCTTTGATCTTTTCTGCTATCCACATGTTCTCATCAGCAGGAGCAACTATTGTTAGGGTACTTAACCTAGGGACTCCCATGCAAAGGGCAAGAGATAATAGGAGCTTTATGTTTTTGATAACCTTATGGGTCAGCTGAACTGTTCCAGTTTTAACGGGAGCATGAAAAACACCATTCTAATTTTAGATTTACTCCATCATGTCAATTGAGGAAATTGATAAGAGACATCCATTCTGCTTTAGGGAGCATTCCAGTAGGAAGAAGACATGCATTATTAATGCACAAAATGTGAATTATTCATAAGGATCGGAGTGTATGCCAAATTGTGACACGTGGTGATTTATTTGAAAGACTAGTTACCATAACTTTCTAGTTTATGGTAATTGAGATTATTTTTCTATATTATTACAGCTGACATAATATGGTCCTATATGTGTGCCAATGTTTACAGACAGATATTTGAAGCAGAAGGAAGGGAAATATACTTTAGTTTGTGTTCATTTTATATTGTACGCGTTGTATGCTGGATGCCAGCGAGCAGTCTACTTTCTCGGGATTTATTCACTTTGTCTGTGTTAATACTCAAGTGGATTTTAGAGCATCTGTGGAATGATGGTTATTGCTCATGGAGAGAAAGGTCAAAGACATAATCAACAAAATCTACTCTTATTTATTAACGTTGGTTTCATCACCAGTTAACCAGTTTTTTTTAACAGTCTTCTTTTGATGTAATGAAAAGAAAGCAGTGTTCGTGGTGTTAATCCAGGCTGCATGTTGCCTAGACCTACGTGTGCTGTGTGTAAGTCTAAACCAGGGCTCGGGCATTACTTCTGGTTCAGAGTAGGCACTCATGTGTGCGTTGAACTACAGGGTGATGTGTGACTTTGCAGTCCATAAGCCTCTTGAGGAACTAATATGACATAGTCGTTTTATTAATGGAATCCAGACAAATGTCTGTGGATTAGAACCATGTTTGGGAGGGTTTATAATTAAACAAGAAAACAACATTTCGTGGTAAGCAGCTGTTGTGCCAAGGAATGCTCCCTCAGACTTGGAAAAGGAGGAAAGAGCCAATTTTGCTGTTACTCGTTAGCTCCGTGACCTTGACCTCTCTCGGCCTCAGTTTTCTAATCTGTACAATGAACATTATTTCATAATGTTGGAAGTATTGACTAAGATCGTATCTGTGGAAATGTAGTGAAAGCAGAGCATTGGTTCCGATTGTATTATTTGTTTGGTATAATCAAAGGTGAGTTAGGATTTTTAGAAGGTTGTGAGGATTATAGATATCTTTCTGTCCGGGACTAATGGCATAAATGTTCTTCTTTTTTTTTTTTTTTTTTTTTTTTTTACAGATCTAGATGTTTTCACTGAATGAAGTTTTTACAAATTCTATACGTTTAAGTGATTTTACAGTGGGACAGAGACATTTTAAGACTATCTCCATTCACATGAATCAAAGATAAATGGTCACTTTTAGTCGAGATCCTATATAGTTTAAGTGATTAAGCAATCGTTTTACCTATAGACTTACTTTTTTCTGTAAACATCAGAAGGCTGAATGGAATTCAACTCCTTTAACTCAAAAGTTTCACTATCTTTCCATCTGCATTCTCCAGCATAATCTCCATTGGTTCATGAAAGTCTCAAGCTGCGCCCTTGGTGCAGTATACAGGAACGTCTGTGTCACAATTTGGGGGCCTCTGCCAGAGGGGGGAGGGAGTAATTGTCTACAGTCATCTAGCTAATCCACAAAAGGCACTAAAAATGTATTCTTAGCCGGATGGTGAATCAGACGATTTGCACATCATTAACCTGACTGAGTGTATGGCTTAGATGGTGTCATATAACTGTCCTCACTTGGTTTCCTCTGCTGCAACAAAGAGGATTTCTAATCAATAATTGCCATGCATGTCTCAGAGTTTAAATTCAGACCTATTCACTTCATCTACATGTAGTCTCTCGACTGCTCTCGATGCTCTTACACAACAAAAGCCTCTTCTCCTGTCTAGCCTGCATCCCTATCTGGTTGTCTAACAGTCTCAAATTTAATGCATCCAAACCCTTGATTGTTTCATCCAAACCTGCTTCTCTTGAAGGCTGCATCTCAGCCACTAGAGGTCCCAACATTTTAGTTGCCCTGGTAAAAATTAATCAGGCAAGCAAGCACACAGCAAACAAACCTCTGTTCTTACCTCTTTCTGCCTGTTCTTATCTCTTTCCTCACAACCAATCTATCAGGAGATCCTGTGGGCTTTATCCTTGAAATATATCTACAATCTGACTTTCATACTAGCTGCCACTACCATTCTGGCCCAAGTGCCAATCATCTCCTACCTGTAATATTGTAAAAATCTCCTAATTTGTCCCCCTGACTGCTCAAGCCGCCAACGCCTTTCCATGCAATTCAGGGGAAAAGCCTTAGATGGGCTCAGAGGCCCTGTGCTGACTCAGAAACTTTTCTTGCTGTTCCCTCTGTTTGGAATGCTGTTCCCCCAGGTACCTCTTCCCACCCAGCTCCCTCATCTTCTTCAGTCTTTCCTCAAATGCCACCTGCCCACTGAGGCCTTCCAGATGCTTAATTTTATTTCTTGCTTCCTTCTCCCCCTTATCTTCTTCTATTTCTCCTCCCCCATATCCCTTCCATTTCTTCTCTCTAGACTTATCATCCCCTCACGTACTGGTCTGTTTATTTTACGTGTTGATTGCCTGTATCCCCCAAATAGCAACACAAGAGGCTCCATGAGGGCTGTGACTTCTCTATCTTTTAATTATAGCTGAACCCCAGTGCTGGAACAGTGCCCAGCACTTAATCGACAGTCTTCCTGATGAAGATTTCTTGAGTGAATGAATAAATCCATCACTGCAAACTGGTTTAAAAGCATACACTCTGACATGAGACTGTTAACATCCTAGGTCAGCAGCTAGTTATGTGGCTTTTTGGTGAGCTCTTTACCATTTGTAAGCATTACTCTAATAAGCAGACTCCTGGTACCCACCTAATAGATGATCCTTGTAAAGGGCTCCACACAATGCTTGACACATTGGACACCCAATTCATGTTTATTACTGCTCTTTCTCACTACCAGGGCTGTTAGGGATGATGAGGCTCAGGTGGTTATTACGTTTACTACTGCTTCTATCGCAATAGCTCTCATCCTTGAAGAACTTGCTGTTTGGTTAGGAAAACAAAATACGCATTCAGTAGTTAATGTACAAGCACAGATTTTGCTTGGCAATGATGGTGGGTATAGGAGGAATATTAGCCTTTGTAAGATTTTCATGATCCTTAGATAAATGACAAAGATAATCAGAGACTAAGAAACTCATCTCCATGAAACATCAGTTTGAATGAGCTCATCAGACTAGGAAGTATTCCTGTTAATTTGAGGGTCTTTCTCTTGGGTGGTAGAGAATGGATTTGAAAAATTGGTTAGTTAATGGCCAGATTTTAGGCAGAAGTATTTTTTTCACTCCTTTGTTTCCCTGTTTGACCTGACCCAGATGCCAAAACAGCTGTAGTATTCCCCTTTAGGGTTTTTGGATCCATAGAAGAGCCATAGAGGATCCACCATTTTTATAGGATCTTGAC